TGGTAATTGTTGAGGCCCTAAACCCTAAACCCTAAAACCTAAACCCTAAACCCTAAACCCCCTGGAACCCGGAAAAAATCCAGCTCTGCCAGGGTGGCATTCCAGGGCTCGGGGCCTCCGGCGAAGCGTGGCTCTTGGAAGGTGTCCGGATGTTGCACGTCAAGAGGATCCTGTGCACTGTTATGGGGCTTAGGGTTTAGGGTTATGGGTTTAGGGTTTAGGATTTCGGGGTTAGGATTTAGGGTTTAGGATCTAGGGTTTAGGATTTAGGGTTTAGGATTTAGGGTTTAGGGTTTAGGGTTGTGGGGGATACTTCCCCAAATCATAACGGTAATAAACCCTAAGCCCTATATAAGCCCTAAGCCTTACAAAATCCTAAAGCCATCAACCCATGGTTCAACCCCGAAGCCTAGAAAGCCTTCACCTCGAAACCTTAAGCACTCAACCACGCTTCAAAGCCCCAAAGCCCTAGAATCTTAAACCTAGAAGCCTTAAGCCCCTAAGCCCCAATGTCGAAGAGTGACTAATTATCAATACTATCACTTAAGGTTCCTTATATAAAGAGCATACTAAAGTATTATCATAGACTCCCTTTATAGAACCGTTTAAAGGACCTAAACCCTAAACCCTAAACCCCTAAACCCAAAACCCTTAAAGGAACCCTACCAGACCTTTTCTGTTCCTACTTGCCAAGTCCTCGGCGAAGCTGGCGGAGCAGGGCCGTGAGATGGCAGACAGCGGTGCTCCAGCCAAGCTCTGCTTCCGCTTGTTTCTTGCATGCTTTCAGGGTTTAGCAGTTGAAGTTTTAGGGTTTAGGGTTTAGGGGTTTAGGGTTTAGCTGTTTAGACGTTAGGGCTTACGGCTTAGGGTTTAGGGTTTAGCGGTTTAGGTTTTGTGGCATAGGGTTTAGGGTTTACGGGGGGTTTGCTCATAAGTGGAAAGAAGAGGGTTCGGGGTGTAAGTACTTACGATAATTATATAGTAGCTTTGCTACGGGAGCACGATTTCTAGTTACAAGTTCTTCAGGCCACTATGTTCGATAGGAAGGCTTGCACACCCCGTGCATAAAAAAAAGCCGAGAATCCCAAACCCCAACTAACCTGATCCTAAACCCAAACTAACCGTAAACCCCCGAAGCCCTAAACATCCTAAACTCCCTAAGCCCCTAGAGCTCTGGAAGCCTCAGCCCAAAACCCAAGTCCTAAACCTCAAAAGCTTGCAAACCCCAAACCCGCGCCGCCCCTTCTTGCTCGAAGCGGCTTTGCCAGGGAACTCTGCCCACTGCACGCTTCACGGTGCACAGGGAGCCCTCCACACAAAGTCCCTCACTTTCATTCGGCTTCTTACTACCTAGTATGATTAGTGTTACAGCGACCTGAGGAGCACAGCTGACAAGTCACGGAATAATTTGAAAACCGGTCCTACAAACGTCCGACAAAAGCCAAACAGAAGACTCAGGCACCTAGCAGCCAAGAGCAGCCCCAAATCAGGACTGATAGGAGCCTCTATACTGAGCCTTCGAGGAATACTTAAAACAGCCCTGCAAAGGAGCACTTACCATAGCAGCAGTAGCTTAGCATAACATCAGCTGCTTTAGCGGATGCTCCTGCGCGGTCAGCCCTGGTGACTTTCAGCCGGCCAACCCGACGAACTTAATACTCCCAGAGACTCCAATATATCTCTGGGTCCAAAGAGCCTTGTCAACTATCTTTGCTAGAAGGATAGGGTAGAATTGCCAGGCATATTGGAGTCTCAGGGTTTCTGCTCCTGTTTAGCTTCTGACCGACCCGCCTGCCACTCAGAGGCTCATGCTGAACTCCAGGCACGACATGTCTTTGCTTGACCTTTGCATTACTTGGTTCTAGCTTTTGCTTGAAGTGCTCTGGGAAATTTGGCTTCCTCCTGCTTGGCGGGGAGCTTGAAAGCCCGTCTACACTTTCGTCTTGCCTGCTGGCTGAGGGTACTTTGCAAGGCACAGGAGGCACGGTGTGAGCCGCCATGGCTCGTTTGGGAAGACTGCTTGGGCCTAGAGTTCAGCGCTAGTTTAAGCTCGAAGTTGCCCAGGAGCAGCAGAGACGGCTGCAAGGCCACAGTCACCTGAGTCAAATCTTTGTCCACAAGACTTGCTTAAGATAGATGCTAAGTGGCTCTGAAATGCAACCTTTCGTGTGAAGGCGTGTTGCACCCAAACGCACACGCCTGGCGCTTCTTGAAGGAAACCTGAAATGTTGGAGGCCGGTTGCGGCGCCATGGATAAGGCCTAGGATTGCAAGCTGAAGTGATGTGCTACCGGTCGCTTCACACAGCAGACAGGAACCCCAATCGGGACAGGCTCAAGAGGCTAAGGACATCGTTCTGTCTCAGCAGAAGTGCGCTGGCAAGCATGCAAACATCCCCGTGTCAGGGCCGATGGGCGGCAATTAGTCAGGGGCTTCCCGTCGCAAGGCTGCCTAGAGCTGGCTGATGCTGGCTTACGTGGTGCCGACGGCCCGAGTGAGCGGAAATCGTTGACGGCCGCCAGCTGTATAGAGAAGCCTGCAGGAATCTTTTTGCAGGACGTGGACAGGCTTCCTCCACAGCCCTCTTCCATAACTTCTGGCTTTGTGCTTTGTAGTCACTCGAAGTCGCCCAGGAGCAGCAGAG